GGCAAAAAACCATATAGAGCCAAAAGTTTCAAGATGATAAGGGCTAACCTCCATACTCAACAATATCTGTTTGCTGAATAGAATCTCAATGGTCTGCAATACCAAAGAGATTTCATCAAAATCAAGGAACTTGACCAAGCAAGGCAGGAAAATGTTGCACTAAAACTAGATAATAAAAAAATTGTGCAAGCTTAATGTCCGAGTTGTAATATAAGTGGGAAGGCACACAAACAAACAAACATGAGAAAATGAATAAAAAGAAATTAGGGAGCTAATCTAGTTAAGTTTATAGCTATAATTTACTGCGATGATGGGCAAATAGGTTATGAACTTGTTTACACATGGTCGTGACATCCTCTCTGTGAAGCCAGCCAAGGAGGTAGAAGGAAACAAAAAGCTAACTAATTACTTAACTCTGCTTTCTCATATTTTACAACCATGTGGTTACATAATTACATTAACATCAATATCGATATTGATTCCCAAATAAATAAAGATCTCCAGCACATAAGTTATAGGTATGTGTACGTAGAAAACATATAAAGTAATCAAGAAATAAGTACAATAATAAACCAGTCTTGCCCTTTTACTAGAATGAGGGGCAGAAAAATTTGGTCACCTAATAGTAGGGCATGCAATCAAGAAAAGAAGGGCCCCCCATTCCTTTAATTGCCATAAAACGATAAGATTCATATTTCTAAGCAATAGGTTTTATCTGAGACTACCTTCAATGCAGGCACAATGACTCTGTCGCATCTCCCGTACCGCTGGAGAACCCAAAGCATGTCAGTAGATAGCATATACTCTCTGGACCTCTCCTTCTGGTCTTCACTTTCTACCACTTGAAGATACTCTAACAATGCTGTGAGTGATGCCTTCCTTAAATAATCTTGCAACCCACCAATAGAGATAACCAACCCAGATAGCACTGATCTGCTAAAACAGCCAAATTGAAGCAATTGTACAAAACGAGGATATGAAAAAGCTGGTACCTACAAGCAAGTACATGATGGGCTCTCCGTCAAAGAACTTCAATTATTTACCAACAATAGTATAGATTTGGACAGTGTATACTTACCCCCCACTTTAAATCAGCTTTATTAGGAACAATTTCTTCCAACTTTTTCCTGTGTGGTATATGTGGGACATAGGCTATCTTGTTGTACAAAATCCTCTGTAGCACCTTTGCAGCTGCTTCTCTCAGTTTATCCATCTTCTCTACCGCTTGCTTACATATTCCTCCAACTATACTGGTAGCAAGATTTGCATCAAACAATGAATACAACTGGTTACTGTCATCACTGTTCTGCAACTCCAGAACAGAATCGATTTGACCTGATCTTCCAGTGAGACCAACAGAATCTCTCTTGCATAGTATATATGTACATCTCTCAAGGCCATCCATAGCAGCCTCACGCACCCAAGAACCCACATCACCTCTGTTATCAACGGAATAGTCATCAAGAGCTTTCAATAAAGTCATCATTATTTCGTCCTTGATGAGAAGGAACAAAGACATGTCATCCTCCACAGTATCAATACCAGAATGTTCTTTTTCCTGAGCTAATGCTTCACACACTGACACAAGTCCTTTGACAGCATTGACTCGTGCTTCGGCATCTCTATCATCAGGGTTATCCTGCATATGAAGTACAGTCAATTAGGAGATCATCATTTATATTTTGCACCAAAAGAGGAGAAAGGCAATGAGATTTAAAACTTCTTTTACACCTCAATTGCACAACAGGTACAAAGCTTCAGGAGCACATCCTTCCACCTGTGGGCAAAAAGTTCACGTGGCAAAACACCTATCGCTAATGCTGATCCTCTTCTTACAGCCACATTTGGGTCAGTCAAGAGTTCCAGGTACTTTGATGTTATATCACCAGTTCTACCACCAGATGCAGCAACCAGATATGCTTGGACGAAGTGCTTCAGAGCATTAACAGCAGCATCCTGCATATCACATTGAAAAACTTGATTCACAATTCAGATATCACAAAGAAATAAAATAAGCAATTAGCTACAAGCCTTCACAATAAGAAATAACCACCTGAATCTGAGAATTAGGATGCCTCAAATTCTCATTAAGTGTATCAAGCAAACTGCGCTTTATCTTTTCTGGCAGTGACACAGAAGATATCGATACACATTCGATGAACCGGGAAACAGCTGAACGCATAATTTCTCCACCTTTTCCACGATAAAGGCGTGCTTTCTCAATAGCAAGTACAACACCAGCAACACGCTTTTGCTTATCTGATGACAAGTTATACACTATCATAATGGTTTTTGCAATCAAGACCATAACCGGTAAACAAGAACCATTCAGAAAAGGCAAAAATTTTAAATTAATCAAAAAATTAAAAAAATTATGCTTTTATGTACACGTTTTTTTCCCCCTATAATATTGTTTTCATTTCCAGGTATTACTTCTTCCCAAGTTCGGTTCCTAAGTTGGTTTATTTGAAATATACAAAGCAACATACAAAGATTCCTTTTAAATTTTAAATCTAAGAATTTAAATTTAGTGTACTCTGAGCTTTTCACTTATATTTCCAAGAGGTAAGAATACCAACCAGCGGAAAGAGCATAATCACATCGATGTAGTGCCAAAACTAGTTCCCCAGCTGCTAGTGTCGCTCCATGGCGCATGCACAAATCAGATGAGAGAGTACAAGGAATTATTTTCTCCAAAGCATAGTTTGAAAAATAGTCAGGATCGTATTTAACAAGTGCAGAAAGGGCCTCAGCAGCAAGTTCTCTCAAGCCTTTATCCTGATAACATTGAGTAATTACAAATCTCCATATTCTTCAGCATATTAAACTTGCTATAGCATGCTACAGTAACAAAAGTATTGATGCTGAATGATGAAATTCATAGGAATATGGACAAAATTTACAAAAGAAAATCACAATCTATGTGCTACTCAGAGCAAATCATGTATGCCAACAAAATTTTTGTTCTTACAACATTGTTGTGTTTTTTGTTTTTGTTTTTGTTTTGTCCTTTTACTGGTAGCAGTCACACTGACAAACACAATTAGTCACTTTTTACAGGTCCTTGGAATCAGGATTCTCACACCCGTCAGAGAAACATTCAAAGTTCAGACCTTTTCTTCCTTCTGAATGAATATACTACTACCTTCCACTGTTCCACACTACATAGAAAAGATTTCATGCTGCATGAATACATGAATTTTTCAGTACAGTACACAGAGTCTACCAGTAGCAATCTAAATTAACAACAAAAAAGAGAGACCTTTGAGAACCAACTTACTACTGACTTAACAACTGTTCTGCCAAAGTAATGGCCCAAGGCCCAAAGACTTGTCATGTACTAAGAGACCAACCAACAATTTTATGGGCTGGTTCAATAACTTATTTTCTTAAGCTAGTTTGTGACACATGAAGTTTTCCGAAGGAGTTACAAACTAGGTGATATATACAGTAAACATGCTTTATAAGTTCTATGGTGATATATAAACACATACTTTCCAGGCACAATTTCGTAGCTATGTTTGTGGAGAAAATAAGCTAAGGGGTGGAAACTGTACAAGCAGTTGAAATAAATCAAAACAATTCAAGTTAGAGCATACCCAATGACAAATTTTGCTATACAGCAGCTCATCCACGAATGGATAAAGATAACCCTCATATTGTGCAATAGAGACAGCAACATGAACGTAAGAGTTTACTCGTGAAGAAAGTGAAAAATAGTCAGCAGTATTCACTATGTCAATTCCATGTGGGTAACTACCCTGTCTTCCAACATTCTCCTGAAAAGCGGCTGCAGCTGCTCTTCTACAGTTCACCTAAGCATCATAAAAATAAAATTAAAAAACCAGAATCACATGTTGTATGAAACAATAGGGAAAATAATACTAATAGTAAAAGTTAGCACCTCACGATCGTAGCAGGCCACTGTTAGAAGGTGTGCTGCAAGCTGGTCCAATATATTTCTCATATCCTTGTGATAATATGCACGACCAAAAGCCCAACAAACATAAGCTGCAGCATCCCGTACATGAGATCCAACACTATGCGGACCTCTTCGAATATCATAGTGTAGTGCCTGTTTAGAAATTACTCATCATCAGTGCTAATTTCTATCCTCTGCAAGCCAAGCATTTATCTTTCTGGCACTTATGCATAAAAAGCGATTATAAAATGTATAGATAGGTATTACTAGAAAAGGATTCAAAAGTGATCATGATATATATATATATATATATATATATGCATTATAAATGTCAAAGTTTTCTAATTCAGCATTTACATTGATCATTAATCTTTCACTAAACTTCAACAGAGCAACAGCACCATATTAGAACAACCTAGTGCAGAGAAATTTTCAAGCTCAACATTACCTAAGGCCACAAAACCAAAGTAGAGTTCAAATATGACATATGTACCAAGAAGTATAGTACACCTACATCATATAACATAACGAAAAAAGAAACCGAAGAAAAAGAGAAAAGGCATTCAATTTATAATGTAAATGTAAAATCATTTCATTATTGAGGGAAAACTTTTGTCATTGGATCAATATGGCATACACTTTGATATGGTTGAACAAAAATGTCAACTAATATACACTAGATTTATAAGTGGGTAAGAGAAATATCAATTTTCAAGACACCTTCACGACAACAGGTACTACTTTAGGAAGGCTGATAGGTAAAAGCAACCCTCTCCGTGCCAATTCGGCCAATGCTAAGCAACCACCATGCCATGACCCATCACCCTGGAAAATATAACATCTCAGCACAAATGTTTGAACTACAAATTTGATATAATTTCAACTAACTAATGAAAGCACATAAAATGAAATATCTTAGAGGGTACGGTACACCATTTAAATATGAAAGATTTTCCAACATGAACAGTTTAACCATTTTAATGGTAGGCGTGTGGAACAATAAGCTAAAGAAAGCACCCACACTATACCTCGCCTGGTGAAAATAGCTCCAAGGCAGATGACAGGACCTCCTCTGAAAGAGCAGATGTAAGACATGAAGTAATGCGGCCAATACCTTTTGCAGCAGACCAACGCACAACTGTGTCCTGCATAAACATACCATTAGTAACAAGTAAATATCACATGAGCAAAAGGAAAGATAAGTTTAACAATAAAAGAGAAAAAAATAAAAAACTAAAACAAGGTTGAAAAACTGCCAATGTCAGTTTCTCTCTGGTTCAACCTATATCCGTGCAAAAGAAACTCTCATTTGTAGTTTGATAGGAGACTTAAAACTTATGGAAGAAGATGAAAGACAGGCATATTGAAATTAGTCCATGTCAAAAATAGTTGCTCACATCCCAAAAGGGAAGAGGAGATGTGATGAGCATTTATTCCTCAAGGACCACAAACTATTTTGAGGATTGCACCTCACGGATTAATCAAAAAGGTCGGTGAAAAGGATAAACCAGTTAGCTAAATTAAACAACTGTAATTACCACAAAGACAGATTGTTCCTCATACCGTATCTCTCAACCCAGTGAGTAACATCTCAATAATCTCCTCTACAACTTCTGGAACATCCATTTCTTCATCTTGCAGGCAGCTGGAACTTGGTTCTGAGTGTGAATCCTCAGTATTCAAAGCATAATTGCATTGACCAGTTTTTTCAGATGCAGACAAAGTAATGTTCTCTCCCAATGTTCTTTTCTTTCCCTGCATCAAAAGTCTATGGTTAAGGCAAGAGAAAGCCATCAGAGAAAAAAAAAATAGTAATGAGAAGAGATTGGGGCTTCTTTCCAAAGGCCCATCCATTGTAGTCCTGAATTTTAATCAATGTACGGAAAGAAAAAGAGGTTGTGTTCATAAGTCAAATGCGAAGAATCGCTTAATGTGCAACCCCACTCAAAAAATTTATACTTCTAAATACTCCAAAAAGTGCAACAAACAAAACTGAAAATAAAAATACCCAAGGTAGGACAAATAACTGGAATTGCAAAGTAAATACTTTCCAGTTGAAATGAAATAAAGTATAAATAAATTTAAGCATCTTAACCATTGATGTTCAAAAATTATCCCAACTCAATTGAAGTTTGGAATTTAAAAAAAGTGTAAAGAATTTAGCATTTCTAACCACATAGCGCCATGAAGGTGTATGATGAGGGAGGCAAGTAAGCCCAATCCTCTGAGTTAATTTCATCAGATACTTGCGAAGCAATGGACTTCGAGATGCATTGCTAGACTTGATCAACAAAGAGGTGTCATTCCAAATAATAGGAACCACATCAAGCAAGAGTTTCCGCCCACCAACCTGTCTATGACAAATAGTATATAAGACAACGAAATATTAAGACCAAGACAGTATGAATGGCAACCAATTTTGAAAATAGATATCTGATGTAAGTAAATTGTAGCATCCATAAGTGATCCAGCACATATGAAGCATTTATATCAGAAGTTAAAGGAAATTTTAAGCGAAAATGGAAATGGTTGAATATGTTATCAGGTTAAAGCATCAAATGCAATATGCACCATGCAATCCTCTGAAATTTCATTGTACTTGCTAATTCATACTTGAGTGTTTTGTAGGGTCACAATTATTGCTCCTTAAGACATTATCTTTTTATATAATTAAGATGGAACATTGCAAACTATATTTGGGTTCAGAATAGTACGAACAACAAAGAAGTAAAAGCAGACCTTGAAAACAGCAGCCAGTGCTTCCGTAGCTCCAAGTAACCGGAAGTGATTGATGACATCATCCGTCAGAGAAGATAGGACTTCATGTGCCCACTCAACAAAGCTGAAGAAGAAACGGGTAAGAAAAAAACAATAATATGAGTGCTCTTGAATTTCAGCATAATAGCTAAGAAATAAATGACAATAGAAGCATGCACATGAGCATGTGTGTGTGTGTGTGTGTGTGTGTGTGTGTGTGTGTGTGTGTGTGTGTGTGTGTGTGTGTGTGTGTGTGTGTGTGTGTGTGTGTGTGTGTGTGTGTGTGTGTGTGTGTGTGTGTGTGTGTGTGTGTGTGTGTGTGTGTGTGTGTGTGTGTGTGTGTGTGTGTGTGTGTGTGTGTGTGTGTGTGTGTGTGTGTGTGTGTGTGTGTGTGTGTGTGTGTGTGTGTGTGTGTGTGTGTGTGTGTGTGTGTGTGTGTGTGTGTGTGTGTGTGTGTGTGTGTGTGTGTGTGTGTGTGTGTGTGTGTGTGTGTGTGTGTGTGTGTGTGTGTGTGTGTGTGTGTGTGTGTGTGTGTGTGTGTGTGTGTGTGTGTGTGTGTGTGTGTGTGTGTGTGTGTGTGTGTGTGTGTGTGTGTGTGTGTGTGTGTGTGTGTGTGTGTGTGTGTGTGTGTGTGTGTGTGTGTGTGTGTGTGTGTGTGTGTGTGTGTGTGTGTGTGTGTGTGTGTGTGTGTGTGTGTGTGTGTGTGTGTGTGTGTGTGTGTGTGTGTGTGTGTGTGTGTGTGTGTGTGTGTGTGTGTGTGTGTGTGTGTGTGTGT